GAGACTCATAAATATGGAGAACAAACAGAAGGTTACTGGAGGGGTTGTGGGAGGGGGGGATGAACTAAATGGGTAAGGGGCACTAAGGAATCTACTCCTGAAATCATTGTTGCACTATATGCTAACTAATTTGGATGTAAATTTTAAAAAATAAAAAATAAAATTAATTAAGAAAAAGATTTTATGGTAAAAAAAAAGACTGGAAGCATACTATAGAAAATAAGGGGTTGGTAAAATAATATGCCTAAAAACAAGCTTTTCATTTAATTTTACTTGGAGCAAGAAACTATAAATTCAGCAAGTGCCTCAGTAATTATTCAGTAGTGAGATAACTACCATAGTTAAAATTTTCTAGGAAACGGTTTAGAGAAAGAGCTGCAACGATATTTTCCCCCATTTTCCTTCTTCTGCTACTGGCTTGTTATTTCCCCCCTTACCTTTCCAATACAGCTTTGCCCCACTATATGAAAGTAGAGCATTCCTATGAAACCTTTCATAAGCTGGACTGGCATAATGTGAAGAAGCAATTACTATTAAATCATACAGAAAAATTTTTGAGCATTCCCAGACCCCTGATAATGATTCTTAGGCTTTTCTGATACCTTAGAATGCACCTTGCTAACGGATGCACAAAATAAATTGAGATAAAGCACAGATGCTCACAGACACAATTCAAAGATGTGGTGGTTTTGCTGAGTGCAGCTGGGGGGAAGGAGGTCTTGGTGGGGACACCCTTGCTGCTCTGGGGGCTAACTGCCAAACAAACACCGAATGCTATTTTCACTTTTTACCTTTTTTCATAAAAGCAAAATCCTCTTTGGATTTCTTTCAGTTAGCAAAAACAGAGGGCCTTTGGAAAACAGAAGTGGGCTAACATGAACTTCTGGAAGGCGGGAATAATAGCATCTGTTCATTCTCACCTTATATATTACACATCATTTAGTATTTACCCTCCTCTGCTTTGTTTTTCTTGTGAAAAACATTTTTTAAAGAAAGAATGAAATATATAGAAAATAGCAGAAAACATCACATAGTAAAAGTAGGTATTGTTTTGTGAAACTTCAGTCTTAAGTGTGTGTGTATGTGTGTGTGTCTGTAAGGGGTCAGGACATAAAATGGTTTTCATATGATAGGTCAAAGTCAATATAATTTTGAGCCACAATGATTCCAAACACTTGGGAGTACCTCAGGGCTTGGACCTCAGACTTTTTTTCTATCCTCACTCATTCTCTTGGTCACTCCCTCTAGTTTCATGGTTTTTGTTTTGTTTTAGGTTATTATGGTAAAATATACGTAGCATAATATTATTACTTTAACCATTCAAAGGTGTACAATTTGGTAGCATGAAATACACTAATGATGTTGTATAACCCAGTCTCATAGTTTTCAGTACCATTTATTTGCTAGACTGGATTTTTTCCCCCAATACTAGCTCATATATTCAACTGTCTTTTTAATATCTCCACTTAGATGTCTAACAGGCATTTTAAGTTATAGTTAAAAAATATTTTTCAATTTATTAGGTAACATTTTTTCCGTATGTTTATTGAGCATGTTTTTTTTTTTTTTAATTTTTTTTAGTAGACTTGTCTTTTGCTTTTTTTCTTTTGGATTTTTAAAAAAATCTTATTGATTTGTGTAGAGCAGTGTTAACCCTTTGTTAAATATGTGGCAATTTCCCCCGATTCGCCTAAAGAAACTTATTTTGTCTATAATCTTGGTGCAAGGAAGTTGCACATTATTATGCCATCAATGTATCATCCTCACTTTAAATTTTTTTTTTCAACGTTTATTTATTTTTGGGACAGAGAGAGACAGAGCATGAACAGGAGAGGGGCAGAGAGAGAGGGAGATACAGAATCGGAAACAGGCTCCAGGCTCTGAGCCATCAGCCCAGAGCCAGACGCGGGGCTCGAACTCCCGGACCGCGAGATCGTGACCTGGCTGAAGTCGGACGCTTAACCGACAGCGCCACCCAGGCGCCCCTCAGCCTCACTTTAATTGTTTCAGCCTTTGGTGTAGGGTTAGCCATTCTTCCCCAAAGATGGTAAATTCCCTCTCATCCTGCATTTTCTTAGCAATGCTCATGCACTTATTTATTCTTTCTCTGAATGAAAATTAAAATCATTTGGTCAACTTAAAAAATTGGGGGATTTTTCTTAGAGTTTTTTGGAAGAAATTATATATATTTTAGAAAGAGAGAGAGAGGGAGTGAGCGGGGAAGGGGCAGAGGGAGAGAGAGAGAGAATCGTAAGCAGGCTCCAAGCTCAGCTCAGAGCCCAACCCAGGGCTCCATCCCACGACCCTGAGATCATGACCTGAGCCAAAATCAAGAAATCAAGGACCAAATGCTCCACTGACTGAGCCACCCAGGAGCCCCAATCAGGGACTATTTGTAAAGGCCTGGGTAGTATATAGAATCCCAGGCCTAGTAACAATAGGGAGTTGTTACCACACTTAGCCTGAAGAGGCAAGGGAAGAAAGTGACTACTAGAACCTGGAGAGGACAGCTGTATGGAGAGAGTCATCTGACTGAAGGTGTAGTGGCCTTTAGTAGAAGAGTACAGCCAATCTACAGCAACCTGACAGAGAGACTGCCAGAAGCAAATTACCCCGGCCTCACTCTCCGTGTGTCCTGCATCTCCTATTGGTATGTCTCATCGGACAAACCTAAACAGAAGCCAAGGAGCCTATTGATACTGTCTACTTTTTGAAGCAGAGCAGGCTGGAGAAGAGAGCAGAATAGACTGGAGAAGCTGCAGATGAGGAAGGGGGAGGTTTAGGAAGTTAGTAGAATTAAGTGCTTGGAAAAAGGTATCCCTACTGCCACCCACAGCCATTTTTAACACCAAAACCTCACCTATCTTCCACTTAGGACAAACCCCTGACTACACCCTTGGACAGGTGCACTGGTCTCTGCCCAGCTGTGACCTCACCCAGACCCTGGGCTGCTGAGTGGTCCTCCTCCTCATTCTGGGGATGATCTTTTTCACTCCATAACATGACTTAGATGGACAGTGACCCTTGTGATCTTGTCCACAGCATTGTGATTGTGAAAACTACATGCCCCTGAAGGCACACTTTTTGTTGACTGCTGTGGGTGATTTTAACTTTCTTCACAGTGCCCTAGATATCATTTCCCTTAAGGCCCAAACAGGGGTCTTCTTAGGTGTGGACACTGGCCAAGTCAAATCCTCCTCAGATCCCACACTATGACTGTGGCCCATCAGACCTGGTGGTCTGTCCCCCACACCAAATGGTCCTCACCCACCTCACCCCCCACTGAGTTGTCCACCCCCCTTCTGAGGGTACTTGGAGGTTCCCATTCCTACCCCACCCCCAGGAGCAGCACCCAGGACTAGGGTTCTCCACCTCCTCAGTCTGTTCGCTCCATCAGAGAGCTCTGTGATTCTGCTCTTTGGCCAAGGCCTCATCAGCTTGGTCCAGCCACTGAGAGAAGAAAGAAGAAGCCTGGAGAGAAGGGGAGAGACACATGTGGAGGGCTAACCGAGGGACTGAGAGACCACCAAGGTGATGCTATCACCTGATCAGGCACCACGCAGGATTGTTTAGCCTTTTTTTGTTTTTTTGTTTGTTTGTTTGTTTATTGATTTATTTTGAGAGAAACAGAGAGAGCAGGAGGGGCAGAGAGAGAATCCCAAGCAGGCTCCACACCCAGAGCAGAGCCCAATGCAGGGCTCTGAAAACTCATGAATTTTGAGATCATGACCCGAGCCAAAGCCAAGAGCCAGATGCTTAACTGACCAAGCTACCCAAGCACCCTTATTTTTTCTTTTTTAATGTTTATTTATTTATTGAGAAGGAGAGAGCAGGAGAGGGCCAGAGAGAGAGAGAGAGAGAGAGAGAGAGAGAGAGAGGGAATCCCAAGCAGGCTCCATGCTGTCAATGTAGAACCCGACATGGGGCTCGATCCCATGAACTGCAAGATTATGACCCAAACCAAGAGTCAGATGCTTAATCGACTGAGCTCTCCAGGCACCCCTTTCTTAAAAGGAAGACAGACACCTTTCCACCCATTCTCACTACATGCAAAATCTTAACATTAAAATTAAGTGTAAAAAAAAAAAAAAAAGAGAGAGGGACAAACCAAAAAAACAGCCCTTTAACTATAGAGAACAAACTGATGGTTACTGGAGAGGAGGTGGATGAGGGGGGGGGGGGGGATCGGTTACATAGGTGATGGAGATTAAGGAGGGCACTGGTTGTGATGAGCACCAGGTGCTGTATGTAAGTGATGAATCACTAAATTCTACACCTGAAACTAATATTTCACTGTACATTAACTAGCTGAAATTTAAATAAAAACTTGGTCGGGGGGGGTAGTGTAAAGAAGCACAACAAACATTCAGCAAAAACTCATTACATTAAAGATGGGCCTTTTTTCTTTAACTGGTGTGATGTAATCATGTCTTTCCAAAAGAGTAGTGCCTCATTCCTTCCTATTTCACCCATACGATTCTGGTGGGGGCTGCCAGTTACTGTAAACTCCGCCAGCCCCACCCTCGGATGGGGGCCATGTCTCAGGATAGACTAAAAATACTCTCTTGGGTTTTCCAAATTGAAACAAGATGATTCTTTTTTAGTTACTAAGCATCTGGCTTGCCCTATGGAGAAAGCCTATCTTAAACTGGAAGGACCAAGCTAAAGTGTAGAGGGAAGCACACATGAGACTTTCAGAGAGAAAGAACATGAGAGAGTGCTGATGATATCGAATTCCTAGTTCTTTCTGGTCATCCTGGAAGCCAGCCTGACTCCTGTCCATTCTTCATTTTGATCACACAAGTCAATCAATTCCCTTTTTTGCCTAAGGCAGTTTGAGATGGACTTTTGCCACTCACAACCAAGGATCTTGAGTTGGGATCATGGGAAGTACGTCCCCAGTTGGCCTAATAGCTAACTAAATACACTTTTAGCATATTAGCAAGACAATACTATCTAGAAACTCTGTTAGAGGTCTAACATTGCCCCACCTTGCCTACCTGCTTTGGGCCAGGCTCAATGAAGTATGTAGTGATGGTGGTGATGTCAGATGTGATGTCACAGAGCCAGGCAATGCCAGTGATCACAACATGCAGGATGTGCTCCCTGCTGTGGACGTAGTGATAGGCAGTGCTAAAGACATTGGCAACACCCTGTAGAGACAGAAAATTTTAATTGTCTTTTGAAAAAATTGTTTTTAATGTTTATTTTTGAGAGAGAAGAGAGAAAGAGTGTGAGCAGGGAAGAAGCAGAAACAGGGAGACACAGAATCCTAAGCAGCTCCAGACTCTGAGCTGTCAGCACAGAGCCCAACATGGGACTTGAACCCACAAGCTGTGAGATCATGACCTGAGCCAAAGTCGGACACTTAACTGACTGAGTCACCCTGGCACCCCAACTGTCTTTTCTTTTTAAAATAGCAGAATAATGCACCAATTGGCTTATCTTTTTTTAATGTTTATTTTTCAGAGAAAGCACAAGTGGGGGAGGGGCAGAGAGAGGGGGACAGAGGATCTGAAGCATGCTGTGTGCTGACAGCAGCGATCCCGATGTGGGGCTCAAACTCACGATCCCTGAGATCGTGACCTGAGCTGAAGTCTGATGCTCAACCACTGAGCCATTCAGGTGCCCCGGATTATCTTTTTAAATTAATGATGACCTACTTCAGACAAAGTATTCATCAGTTCTCAAAAGGCAGTGTTCCAGATTCTACTATGAAAAAAAAGATCTCAAGAAATCAAAGATGTAAGGAGATATCTACTACAAGATCCGCATAACTTTATTATGTTTCCTGATAATCATCCAGTGAAATTTGTGATATGTGCTATCAGAGAATAGAGTCAGAAGAACAAGATAAAGTTTGAAATGAGAAAAAATATTTAAAGCCAGGAGCTAATGACAGCCTTGGGCAGATGGGTAGGAGCTGCCCTGATATGATGCAATTTCAATTTCTGGATCTTTCTGTCCTTTTTGTCATCAGATCAGTACAGGTTGTACTCTGGTCCAAGGCCTGCAACATGCTAGATAACATAGTCTTCTTATAGGCATTGAGAGAGGCTGTTACACAGAAAAGGGGGATGAAGTCCTTAGAACGCATCTGTTGTCTTGTCAAGAGACTCTAGGAACCACAAATTCTTCAAGACTGTATGAATTTTATAATTCAACCCGAGGCATCTAAGGGTAACTCAGGACACTTTACCTCTAGGTCCTGGAGAATCTATTTAAAGTTCATATTGAGGGGCACCTGGGTGGTTAAGTGTCCAACTTCAGCTCAGGTCATGATCTCACGGTTCAAGGGTTTGAGCCCCACATCAGGCTCTGTGCTGACAGCAGAGGGTCTGCTTGGGATTCTCTCTCTCTCTCTCTCTCTCTCTCTCTCTCTCTCTCTTTCTCTCTCTCTGCCCTTTCCCCACTTGAGCATGCTTTCTCTCTCTCTCAAAATAAATAAACTTAAAAAAATAAAAAATAAAGTTCATTTTGACATGGTCTCTAATAAGATTATATATAATTCACCTACTTTTAACTCCATACTCCTCCATTTTCTTCTTGATATCTTTATATCATTCTTATATCAGATAAGAGTGAATCACATTATTAAGAAGATGTCCAGGGGCACCTAGGTGACTCAGTCAGTTAAGGGTCCAGCTCTTGATTTCGGCTCAGGTCATGATCTCACAGTTTGTGAGTTTGAGCCCCACATTGGGCTCTCTCTCCCTCAAAATAACTAAATAAACATTTTTTTTTAATGTCCAGAAAAAAAGATTCCACCACTTTCCTCAGTTATACATCCAATAAATGGGAAGAGAAAAAAATTTTTTAAGTTTATTTATTTTGAGAGAGAGATAGAGAGAGTGGGAGAGGCAAAGAGAGAGGGAGAGAGATTCCCAAGCACAGTGCTCTGTGCTGACAGCACAGAGCCCAATGAGGGGCTCAAACTCACAAACTGTGAGACCATGACCTGAGCTGAAATCAAGAGTTTAATCTACCTGACTGAGTCACCCAGGTGCCCTGAGAAGAGAACATTTTTAAATTGTGGTAAATAAACATAAAGAGCCAGATGCTTAGAGGGGAATACGTGGTAAAGGCATAGCAAGTTCCTGATTGTTGCTACATCCCAGTCCATCGCCTCCATAAAGGCTTTCAATCTTTCTTCATTGCAATTACTATTCATAAAATCAAATTAAAATGCTTGTAGAAATAAATGATCCAGTTATAGTCTTAAAAGTGCTTATCTTTTGGAGCACCTGGGTGGCTCAGTCGGTTAAGCATCCAACTTTAGCTCAGGTCATGATCTCCTGGTTCATAGATTCAAGCCCCATGTCAGGCTCTGTGCTGACAGCTCAGAGCCTGGAGCCTGCTTCAGATTCTGTGTCTCCCCATCTCTCTGCCCCTTCCCTGCTCATACTCTCAAAAGTAAATAAACATTGAAAAAAATTTTAAGTGCCCATCTTTTTTGTGATCTAATTTGAAAACATGAATACTCAAGAAACATTTAGATTTCTTCCTACATTCTTCATCCTTAAAAATCATGACACTGAAATCAAGAGTCATGGGAATGCATTTGTGGAAAGAGTAAAAGATTTCTAGGTTCCCCCTACTAATAAAACATAAATATCTCCCTTCTAAAGATTCATTCCTACTTTGTGGGTCTTAGTTAGTAGTCTAATGGTTGGATTTCAGTGTTACAGCATAAAATGCTGTTCCTATAATTAATGCAATAGGACACATATTAACAATCTTCCCAGAAGCTAAAGCATAGATGAGGCTGAGAGTCCTTCTATGTGTAATGGAGAACCTCTCCAAAGACTGTTAGACATACACAGTAAACAGTAACAAGTATGATGACACTATCTATTTTCATCTGGTTTTAGGTTTTACTTTTTAAAAAGTATAGAAGGAGAGGCCATCTTACCATTGCTCTTGAAGAATTCCTCCATGACTTACCTGATAGAATCTGATCTCATGAGGCACAAAGATGTTTATTTTCTGGGGATCTCTTAGGGTGTCAACAGCCATGACCCCAAAGACCCTCATATATGCATCCTGAAGAGGCAGAGCCAGGAATGAACCATTTTGATCACTCTTCTTGATGGAATTGTTCCAGAAGAAGACGTTCCCATGGTGCTGAACCTGGGGGACATGTATTGGCTTCCCTTCATCCACTACTGTAAAGCTGAGGAATAGGAATTAGAAGGTGATAGAAAGGCACGGGAGAAGGCTTTAGATGAAGCCGTGCAGGAAATTAGATCAATTCTCCATTCATAGTTATTGTCATTATATGTCAGAGAAGTGGACTCATGAAATTACTAGTTTGGAGAGTCTGACTTTAGAAAAAGATTAAAAAACAAGCTTAGCTCATACCAGAGAAAACATATATGAACAGGATGCTGGAGACATAACTTATAAAGCAGGCAGAAATAATTGAGCTGATGTTGTGAGGCAGAGTTCCAACATGGTAAATCACTGCCTAGGAGTCAGCTCTAGAATTGACCAGGTGAAATTATTTAAGAGTGGAAACCCATCACCTCCCACTCCAGAAGCATTGGTGGCCTGAGGTCTTTCTCTCTTGGGAAGCTAACTGGGATTTCTATTTCTAGTTTATTTCAAAAAGGGAACTATTTTTTTTAGAAGTGTAACACCAACCTCTTCAAGAAATTCTTACCTGATTCCCTTCATGTCCCTGTAGAGTACCCTGTTCAGTACAAATGGAGCATCATCTAAAGTAGAAGCTACGTTCCTCAATAGAACATTCCCTCTATCAGGCAGTAGTCTGTTTTCTTCTAAGAGGGAAATGTGAGCACTGATCTTCTTATTTCCATGGGATTCAGCATCCTATGTCAAAATGTTTCTGATGATGTATTTGGTGATTAAGAGTTATTCTCTCAATCACGTCTCCCATCATTAGCCAGTTTGTGCATCTGACCACAATAATTACCATTCATGGGCAGTGGGGAAAAGGCTGACACCACAGCTGTCTCCTAAACCTGAGTTTTTGGTTTTGTTTTTTATTTGAGAGAGACAGAAAGAGAGAGAGAGAGAGAGAGAGAGAGAGAGAGAGAAGGAGGGAGGGAGGGAGAGAGAGAGGAGAGAGAGAGAGAGAGAGAGAGAGAGAATCTCTGCAGTGAGTGTGGAACCTGATGAGGGGCTAGATTCTACAACTGTGAGATCATGACCTGAGCTAAAATCAAAAGTTGGACGCCTAACCAACTGAGCCACCCAAATGCCCTCCAAATCTGAGTTTTAATGAATGGAATGGATTTACTTTATGTCAACTAGACTAAAAAAAAATCTCTCAAGTCTTCTCAAATTTAGAGGTTTAAAACTTGGATCCCTTTGAACTATAGTCATATCGTCTCAGCTTCAGTTAAAAGTATTTATCTTAGAGGGCCAGGGCAAGAATATGGCTTCATTTAACTCATATTTCTTGAGTACATTTTCACCATCTACTCTGAAGTGAATGTAGGAAAAAATGCTCTCAGGGAATTCTTAACATAGTTTGGCTATGATATTTGGTTTATGCCAGGAAAAAATTTCTTGGGGTCTCAGATTTCAGAGTTTATGCAACTACTATTTCTAACTAAAATAACAGAAAATTCTCTGTACCTAAAATATTATTATGTTATTAACAATATTGTGTTGACACATTATTGAGCATGTCCATAATTTGGGGACATTACAAATGTTTTCCTTGATTTTTGCCTTCCCTTTCTATATATTTGGGTTTGCTTTGTTTTTTCTTTTCATTTTTGGAAAAATATTGAATGCTTCACAAATTAGCATGACATCCTTGAGCAGGGGCCATGCTAATCTTCTCTGTATTGTTCCAATTTTAGTGTATGTGCTGCTGAAGCAAGCACTAGGTTTACTTTTCATGTATTTTTTTTCTTTTGCCTTTATTCTTCCTTTTCTACATAAAAGATCCATAGAGTAACTAGCAAATGTAGTAAGATTTATCTTAGGGTACCACAGACCTCTGAAGCAAGTTGGAGTAATAATTGTTTTTCTAGATTGGTCTTCTGCTCCTGGTCACACCATTTCAAAGTACATTGGAAAATTCAGCCATTCAGTTGATGAATCCATTAATTAAGTGTTGCTATTTAATTGAGCTGAATGGCTCCAAGTTCCCTGGACTAGTGGAATCTGTGACATCTATCTATCTGTCTGTCTATCTATATCTATATGTCTATATATCTATATATCTATATGTATATCTATCTATCGCAGCCATGCTGGCTGTTTCTGTCCAGGAGGGGCAGCAAGCTGGGAGTGCCTGAGGGGGTGGCAAAGCTGTGGGCAGTGGTCCATCAGAGTCATGTGTTTTAAGTGACATGAGTCTATAATAGTATCAGCTTGTTTTTAGGCAGTGCAATGAAATATTGTGTGATATTGGATTCTACTTCCTAATGGCCTTATGATTTAAATAGTTTCTTTTAAAAATTTTAATGTTTATTTTGAGACAGAAAGATAGTCAGAAAGTGGGGGGAGGGGCAGAGAGAGAGGAGAGAGAGAATCCTAAGCAGGCTCCATGCTGTCAGCACAGAGTCCAACATGGGGCTCGATTTGATGAACCATGAGATCATGACCTGAGTGGAAACCAAGAGTCAGACACTTAACTGACTGAGCCAACTAGGTGCCCCTTAAATTGTTCCTTTAAAATTTTTTTCGTTTTAGAGGAAGAGAGAGACAGTGTGTGCAAGCAGGGGAGAGGGGCAGAGGGAGAGCGAGAAAGAGAGAGTCTTAACCAGGCTCCATACTCAGCGAGAACCCCACACAGGGTCCGATCCCATGACCTTGGGATCATGACCTAGGCCAAAATCAGGAGTTGGATGCTCAACTGACTAAGCCACCCAGACGACCCTAAATAGTTCCTTTTTAAACTGACTCCTAAAACATTTTTCAAGGGAAATGTAGCTTGAACTGCCTGTACCATCTCCTTACTGGTATTTTTCAATATTAGCCTATTGTCTTCTCTAAGCTTATTGACTCTCAGCACAAATGAAATTAGAAATCCCAAGACACAATTCTGTCTCTTATACCTTTCCTCTCTACTGCTACCTTCCCAACCTGCAATCATTCCAGTTGTGTCTTTCCTAGGCTTTGGGTCACTGTAATGTTTTGGAATGAACAAAACATCTATAGCAGTACTCAGTAATTTTTCAAGAGAATTTAGTGTGCTCCCCCTTTGCAACCATTGAACATCACATACTAGGAGGAAATTTTTCCTCTTATATTTCACTTTAGAAAAACATACCTGGGTGAGGGCCTTAAAGGTCTCGGTGTACACTGGCTCCAAAGATACCCCACTTGTCTCTGCAGCATGTTGGATTCGGTATAGCCACTTCCGCCTGGCACAATTCCTCAGGTTCTCAGTAGGGCTCCTTTCTAAAGTATTCATCAGAAACTCCACAACAGTTTCCAGAACATGATCTTCATTGCCCCTGAGTTCAGATACAACCAACTGTATGTATTTCTGAAAATTTTTTGAAGACATCCTCACTTCTTGACCAGGGTGTGGCTTTGGAAATTGGATGTGTAGTTTAGCTAAAAGACATAAACACAAAATGAAGAACTAATCAAAAGTTCATTTATCTATGGGGGAAATTTTCATTCCCCTTTTATAGCAGACTGAAGCCCCTGACAACTGCTCCCCATGGAAAACCAGGTATATCAAAGGCATCTCAAAGCCTAATGAAACATCTTACAGTGACTTCCTGTATTGAACTCACAATATCCTGTGTCATCTTCCCTGTTTCTGTTTTGTTTTTTTAACTCCACCACTCAGCCAGATGAAACTCCAGGGTCGACTCTGACTCCTCCCTACTTTTTACCTTCCATATCCAATAGGCCACTTAATCCTATCCTGTTAGCCTTTGGCAATATATCTTGTTGCCCCTCCTCTCCATTCCTAATTCCATAATCCCAAACCAGTGTTAGTCATTTTATACATAATTAGATTACCAATAGTAAGTCTCAATACATATTTATAAAATTAAATTAAAACAACTTACAACAAAAAGCAGAATCAGGCCTATAAATACAGAGAGCAAACTGATAGTTGCCAGAGGGAAGGTGGGTGGGGAGATGGACAAAAAGGGTGAAGGGGAGTGGGAGATACAGGCTTCTTGCTATAGAATGAATAAGTCACAGGAATAAAAGACATAGCATAGGGGATATAGTCAATAATATTCTAATAGCTTTGTATGGTGACAGATGGTATCTACACTTGAGGGGAGCATAGCATAACAGATAGAAAAGTTGAATCACTATGTTGTACACCTAAATCTAATGTAACATTGTGTGTTGGTTATACTTAAATAAAAAAATTAATAAATACATACATGCATACATACATACATACATACATACATATATACATATCACACAACTGGAATGAACCTCAAAGGCACTAAGACAAATTTATGGCTTTTATTAATCATGGTATTTAAATAATCATAAACACACTCCCCAATTATTCTAAAGAATAAAAATATATCAACATGCAAAAACAAAAACTAAAATGAAAAATAAACACAATTTGCAGTATGCAATTCCCTGGTTCAAAGTCCTACCATATTCAGTGACAGATGACGATATACTTGAGGTAAGCATAGCACAATATATTGAGAAGTTGAATCACTATGTTGTACACCTGAACCTCATGTAACATAGTATGTTAACTATGCTGAAATTTAAAAATTAAAGATACATAAAAATTAAGAGATGGGGGAAAAGTCCTACCATATACAGATCCAGTTCATTTTCCAATAATATCTACCCATAACACCATATAGAAATTATTTGCCCTAGTATCTCCATTCTACTCATGGTCCTGACAATGCCTTACACACTTCTGCATCCACATCTCTTCTATTTTTTTAATTGTACAATTATGAATGTGCTACCAAACTTAAGCATTTGCAATAACACATCTTACTCCATGCTCCTACCCTGTTTCATCCCCTGCCCCCCCCACAGCCCCACCAATAACCTGCGATTTTGCTTTTGCATTATCTTTCCCTTCATTTTCCCAGTAGTGTTATTGTGTGTGTGTTTGTGTGTGCACTTCTAAACAACATGTAGTTTAGTTTGGCCTATTTGTAAATTTCAGGAAAAGGACATCATACTATATATATATATATATATATATATATATATATATATATATATATACATATATATATATATACACACACACACACACATACATACATACATATATACACATATATATGTACATAGATGTGGATGAAGCTAGAATGTATTATGCTAAGTGAAATAACTCAATCAGAGAAAGACAAATACCATATGATTGCACTTATATGTGGAATTTAAGAAACAAAGCAGATGAACATATGGGAAGAGGAGGAAAAAATAGAAGAGAGGGAAACAAAACCACAAGAGACTCTTTTTAAAAAAAAATTACTATTTTATTTATTTGATTTTATTTTTTATTTTTTAAAATTTACATCCAAATTAGTTAGCATATAGTGCAACAATGATTTCAGGAGTAGATTCCTTAGTGCCCCTTACCCATTTAGTTCATCCCCCCCTCCCACAACCCCTCCAGTAACCCTCTGTTTGTTCTCCATATTTATGAGTCTCTTCTGTTTTGTCCCACTCCCTGTTTTTATATTATTTTTGTGTCCCTTCCCTTAGATTCATCTGTTTTGTCTCTTAAAGTCCTCATATGAGTGAAGTCATATGATTTTTGTCTTTCTCTGACTAATTTCACTTAGCATAATACCCTCCAGTTCCATCCACGTAGTTGCAAATGGCAAGATTTCTTTTGATTCTTTTTGATTGCTGAGTAATACTCCATTGTATACATACACCACATCTTCTTTATCCATTCATCCATCCATGGACATTTGGGTCTTTCCATACTGTGGCTGTTGTTGATAGTGCTGCTATAAACACGGGCGTGCATGTGTCCCTTCGAAACAGCACGCCTGTATCCCATGGATAAATGCTTATCCCATGGATAAATTGCTGGGTCGTAGGGTAGTTCTATTTTTAGTTTTTTGAGGCACCTCCATACTGTTTTCCAGAGTGGCTGCACCAGCTTGCATTGCCACCAACAATGCAAAAGAGATCCTCTTTCTCCGCATCCTCGCCAACATCTGTTGTTGCCTGAGTTGTTAATGTTTGCCATTCTGACAGGTGTGAGGTGGTATCTCATTGTGGTTTTGATTTGGATTTCCCTGATGATGAGTGATGTTGAGCATGTTTTCATGTGTCGGTTGGCCATCTGGATGTCTTCTTTGGAGAAGTGTCTATTCATGTCTTTTGCCCATTTTTTCACTGGATTATTTGTGTTTTGAGTGTTGAGTTTGATAAGTTCTTTATAGATTCCGGATACTAACCCTTTATCTGATACGTCGTTTGCAAATATCTTCTCCCATTCTGTCAGTTGCCTTTTAGTTTTGCTGATTGTTTCCTTTGTTGTGCAGAAGCTCCTTATTTTGATGAGGTCCCAATAGTTCATTTTTGAAAACCACAAGAGACTCTTCATGATAGAGAACAAACTGAAAGTTGATGGAGGGAAGTGGGTGGGAGATTGGCTCAATGGGTGATGGGCATTAAGGAGGGCACTTGTTTTGATGAGCACTGAGTGTTCATATATATATGTGTGCGTGCGTGTGTGTGTGTATGTATATATATATATAGTTTTATGGGACTTATTTTTTTTTAATGTTTTTATTTATTTTTGAGACAGAGAGAGACAGAGCATGAGCAGGGGAGGGGCAGAGAGAGAGAGACACAGAATCTGAAACAGGCTCCAGGCTCTGAGCTGTCAGCACAGAGCCTGATGCGGGGCTCGAACTCATGAATCCTGAGATCATGACCTGAGCCAAAGTTAGACGCTTAACCGACTGAGCCACCCAGGCGCCCCGGGACTTACTTTTTTATTCCACATCATGCTACCATATCCATCCATGCTGTTCCTGTAGCTGTGATTCATTCATTTTCACCACTGTATACTATGTCGTTCTGTGTGTATACCACCATTGATTTATTCTCCTGTCAGTGGGCATGTAGGTTGTCTCCAGTGTTTTGCTATACATGTCTTCCGGTATGCATGTGCAAGTTTCTTTGACATTCATTATAAATTAATAAGTCATAGGGTATTTACCCTTCTTCTTTACATTTCAAAATCTCGCCTTCCTGAAGAAGGCTTCCACCACGATATCTCCTTCCTTTGGAAGACAAGCATCTATTCTATACCATATGTTTGACAATTAACAAATACTGCCTATTACTTTTGGTCCTCCTACTGATGAAGGTTTCTCATTTTTGTGGTTGGACTTTTGTTGATTTTTTTCTGAGTTTATACTATTTATTTATTTATAAATTTATTTAAATTTTAGTTAACATACAGTGCAATTTAGTTTCAGGAGTGGAATTCAGTAATTCATCACTTACATACAACACTCAGTGCTCTCATCAAAACAAGTTCCCTCCTTAATGCCCATCACCCATCGAGTCAATCTCCCACTCACTTCCCTCCATCAACTTTCAGTTTGTTCTCTATCATTAAGAGTCTTTTGTGGTTTTGTTTTCCCTCTCTTCTTTTTTTTTCCTCCTCTTTCCATATGTTCATCTGCTTTGTTTCTTAAATTCCACAAATGAGTGCAATCATACGGTATTTGTCTTTCTCTGATTGAGTTATTTCATTTAGCATAATACATTCTAGCTTCATCCACATCTTTGCAAATGGCAAGATGTCATTCCTTCTGATGACTAATATTACATTGTATATATATACACCACATCTTCTTTTTCCATTCATCAGTCAGTGGATATTGGGCACTCTCCATAGTTTGGCTATTGTTGATAATGCTGCTATAAACATTGGTGTGCATGCACCCTTTCAAATCTGTATTTTTGTATCCTTTGGGTAAATACCTAATAATGTAATTTTGATAGGGATTGCATTATAAGTGTAGATTGCTTTGGGTAGCATAGACATTTTAATGATGTTCTTCCAATCCATGAGCATGGAATTCTTTTCCATTTCTTTGTGTCCCTTTCAATTTCTTTATACTTTTCAGAGTACAGATTTTTTACCTCTTTAGTTAGGTTTATTCCTAGGTAACATTGTTTTTGATGCAATTGCAAATGGAATAGATTCCTCTATTTCTTTTTCTGCTGCTTCATTATTGGCATATAGAAATGCAACAGATTTCTGCATGTTGATTTTATATCCCGCGACTTTGCTATATTCATGTATTAGTTCTAGCAATTTTTGGTGGAGTCTTTCAGGTTTTCTACACAGAGTATCATATTATCTGCAAATAGTGAATGTCTGACTTCTTCCTCGCAATTTTTATGCTCTTTATTTCTTTTTGTTGTCTCATTGCTGAGGCTAAGACTCCCAGTACTATGTTAAATAGTAATGGTGAGAGTGGACATCCTTGTCTTGTTCCTAACCATAGGGGAAAGTTTTTCTCATTGAGGATTATATTAGCTGTGGGTCTTTCATACGTGGCTTTGATGATGTTAAGCCATGTTCCATCTATCCCTACTTTGTTGAGTGTTTT